CGCTTCGGGAGGCAATTTTATGGTGCCGTTCGATGGGGGTGTACGGGGTCTGTTACCAGGGGGACGCAAAAGTGGTTATAGATAAGGTGATAGCTGGCAGTACGGGGGATTGTTATGGAGGAGCGGTGTTGCGGGAAGTCCAGGATGTGTTCGGTGCGGTGGATGGGGATGTTCTCCGATTTGTAGGTAGGGATCACAATAGGGTAGCCCATAGTGTGGCTAGGAAGGCCCTTTCTTTGTATCCTACTGGTCTCGGGGGGTTTGATTTTTGCGCTTGGCTCCGATCGGAGTTGTAATCGTTTGTGATCTTTGTTTCTTGGTAATACAAGCTATCTTTTGCAAAAAAAAAAAAAAAAAAATTCATTACGTAGTGGCGGAGGGGATTTGAAACTACCCCTATCCTCTTTTTTTGTATTATATAAATATATAAACATTTAATGAATATAATTAAATTATTAATATCTAAATAATTTATTTTCGTATATGAAAAACAACTACTATTGCAATCGGTATTTTCATAAACAACCATGACGAGTTTTCATATTCGGAAGAAACACATAATATATTCTTTGTTAGCTACACACTTAAGTAAGTCCTTTTCAATGGATCTCACTAAACAACCATTAGCAAACTGGTCGTGAGTTCGACTTCAAAGTTCGTTCTTCAGATAGCTCAAAGCTGAAAATATTTTATCGACACTTGCTGTCAAAACTGGTGGAATCGGCGCTGCCACTGGACTGCTTCAAGATTGCTTGCAAATAATCGAATAGGTATATAAAGAAAAGAGCTATTCCAATTGAGATTTCGTTTATTGTATAATAATTAATTCATTGTCAATTTATGATAAATAATGAGTTGTGATATAGTAACGAAGTACAATCATATTGTGTTCCATCCTTCGTATAAACATATATGAAGTATTTTTGTTCCTCCCAAAATTTACTCCTGTCCCGGGACAATGCCCAATAGGGCTGCCTCCGCCACTGTCAGTACTTGTTTGGGTGGATGTATGAGTTGGTGTGCAAGTAATTTTTTATGGTCCATAAAATTTAGCTAGTGGTGAATGAGTTATGAGTCATTAATCCACAAAACCACATATATTGTGCTCTACGAATCAATTGTGATTAATTCATTTATCGTAAAATTTTGCTTGACTTACAACATAAACTATTCCCGATTTTTTTTTAAAATGTGATAGGTATCCACAAAATGGTTCTGTTTCACGAATGAGATCATCGTTTTTAGATTATGCAATAAGTTATTATTTAATGGTATCAACTTTCTTGAATTTTGTGATATTTCTTTTATGGGAATCTGCGCAAAGTTTTATTAATCAACTAGAACTGTTACATCATCCAGCTGCGGATGATCAAGCAGGAAAAAACAAGTGGTCTATCAAACCATATAACAACCTCATCCCAACTAGTTCTCGTATGAGCCATAACATGTGCTGCTTCATTTTCCTTTCGGCTAGCATACTTCCAATCCCCTCCTCCTGCCTCCAGCAAAAGCTTCCTAATCTTGCGACACACTCACCTATCATTCATTTTTAACAATTCAATTCACCTGTAATTGTACTAATAAGTAGGTCTGAGACATTTTTTTTACCACCCATCACAATTATGAATTTGGTAAATTTTAGTCTAAAAACCGTCTAACCACAATTCATCGATTCATGACCTTAATATCCATATATCACAAAAACTGGAGGCATACAAAACTGAATCATCAATAACAAACTGACATTCTCTATATCTTATTATCACCTATCCCCCCGATTTCCACCATTTCATGATGTCATTAGTGGTTGTGATTAAAAAAATTAATCATACTTAGTTAATTACTCCTGCCTATCGGCCGGGCTGAAATTGATGGAAGTAAATTGGTTCATGCCTTTGGCATTCTCTTAGAAACCTACATTTCCATGGCACACACGTCGCAAACCCCACTTTCCCTTTCCTTTTCCTCCTCCCCTCATTTTGCTAATTAGCACCAAGAAAACGTAGATTTGACACATCACGACTAATGATCAGAAATCTAGCTAGCAACTTCTTAAATAATTAATCACCCACTTAATTACCTTAATTAATACCTCATGTATACGTACGTACGTCTTTTATCCATTTATTTACTTGATTAGTGATTGATCAATTGCCTGGACACATCAACCTCATCGGAGTTTTTAGCAAACCCCAACACTAAATGCTCAAGCTTCTAGTGTTTTCACGTACGCCATTGTAAACGTTTTATTCATTTGGGAGATGTCACGGCTGTTTTCTGCGGATCGGAAAATAAGAGGATTCGACAATGCAAGAAACGGAAACACAAACACAGATACGATACACGATTTACGTGGTTCACCAACACAATGTGTGTTAGCTAGTCCACGAGCAGGAGAGAGCCAGTTCTTACTCTACCTCGAGGAGATTACTGCCCATAGTTTCTTGTTTACATGATGAGGGATCCTTCTTCATAGTCGATCATAATGAAGATAAACCCATATCACTGTGGTTGTTGTTAGTGTTGTGGTATATGATCCACGATTGAACCTCTCCCAACAACTCGAGTTATTGGGACCAACTGATTTATGACATGGTATCAGAGCCTTCTGTGACCGAGAGGTCTTGTGTTCGATTCCCGGTGACCCCCATTTGTTAAGCACATGGTATTCTTGTCTTCAGACCTGTGCAAACTTCAAGCCCTTGTGAGTGGCTTTCGTTTGAGGGGGCGTGTTAGTGTTGTGGTATATGATCCACGATTGAACCTCTCCCAACAATTCGAGTTATTGGGACCAACTGGTTTATGACAGTTGTCAACTCAATTATGAAGACAAATGCGCGACAAACAGGCGAGGCAAGACACATCATGTGTATCATATGCTTAATCGTTATTATACTCCACATTAACGATAGTGTAATCACGCGAACAAGGACGTGGTCTCATGGTAATACCACTAGTTCTGAACCTGGCAGTCCCAGGTAGAATCAATTCAGTACCACCTAACTGTAAGAGTCATCTTATATCCCACTTATAAAAAAACGATAGTATGATCATTTGAACTATAAATCTCTCGATTTGTCGAAAATTCATGTATGTATTAGTTGAGCTATATATGTTTTGAATTGAGTTGTGATGATGACCTAAGTACATCTCGTTTTTATTTCATAAGCTATATACAACATCGACCACACGTTATAGTCAACGACAGCCAAACAACCATTTCGTAGTTTGGGGATCAATCTATAGTTAGATAGAAACCTTAGATCAAGGTTATTGTATTAGTATGTCAATGTGAATGTTAACCAATTTTAATTTTTCCCTCTATCATGTAAACCTTTTTCCTCTATAATATTAATGCAGCCGACAATAGATGGACTTATTTTCCAATAAATATCCATTTTGGGAGGGCAAGGAACCTATCCCCCAACGGTGAGAATAGCTCCATAGTCTATTTCCATTAGGGATGGCAATTTCGACCTGACCCGTTTTACCCGACCTGTTTGACCTGTTTTGGGGCGGGTCGGACCCGCCCCGTAGGCGGGGCGGGGCGGGCATGGGTAGTCTCATCGACCCGACCTGCCCTGACCCGCCCCATTCTCGACCCGTTTGTGTCTAAATTACATGAAATCTTAGTCAAATTACTTTGAATTTTACTTTTATCGCATCATATTTTAGCTATAATAAAGTTGTAAATTAGTGAAAACCTCAATTTCTCAAATAATTTAACTACAATTGTCATAATATTGTTTATTTTCTTAGTTTTATAATAAAAATAACGAATCTTTCTAATGTTTTTCAAATAAATTGCATACCCATTGGGTCGACCTGCCCCGACCCGCGACCCGTGATCAATTACCCGACCTGGACCCGCCCTGCAACGGGGCGGGTCTGGGTACCAAGAAACCCGCCCCGGACCTGCCCCATTGCCATTCCTAATTTCCATTCTACTACCTCCCCAACCATATTAGCCTCAATAAATGTATAGTTGAATTTTGCCATCACTTACAGCTGTGGCCAAAAGAGGAGGAGAAGAAGTTAACTCGAAATTTCATTTTGCATTCCTTCCTCCATTACCAAAATGGAAATTTAACTCTAGTTACAATCACAACTCACAGCGATTTGGACGAGTTAGTATCGTTTGATTTCAGTGATTTGGTCGTTGTAGGCTTTTGTTTTGAGGACCTAATGAGGTTAGAGTGTTACTTTTTACTTTGTTTTTTCTTGTAACTTTTGGGACAAGTTGAAAATATGAATTACAGATATCTCAATACTCATAATCATTTTGTGATTGTTAACGGTTAGATGAGGTCATCTTATCGGGGTCACATATTTCGAATGAATTGGTTCGAATCATGAGTAGAACTACTAGGGTCGGTCTGCTATGATGCGTCTTTCGAATAAAACATAAGAAATATATTGATTTTCGTATGATAATTAAAGAGATTATGATCTCTAACAAAAAAAGAGAGGGAGAGAATGACGTATAACCAACGAAAGCAAGTAATTTGAGAGATGGAAGCTCAAAACTTATCGTGAATCTGTCATACGATTGGATACGAGTCTAGAGAAACCAAAATAAGGAAGAAACGAGAAGATGATGTGGAGAATTGAGTTCAAAAGGATGATATCAGGACGAGATGATATACAAAAGAAGACTACCGCCTCAGATCGCTTAAAAGTCAAATGTAAATAATAATAAAAAATTAGAACGAATATAATTTACGGATGACGCTCAAATTTGACTACGAAAAGTCTACAAGAATCACTTTCTAGTCCAAAAAAACTACCAAAAAATTTTATACTTTTTGTCATGAATTAATTTACCAACCATTCAGAGAGGAACCAAGGTGGATTCACTTGGTCATAAACCCAACTAACCCAAAAAAATTTGTTTTCTTTTTTGTCTTCCAAAACCTAACTCTTAATGAGGCTCTATAATCTTATACGTAGAGCTATATAAGTAAGGCCGATTCAATAGCATGTACTCTCACAAGTCAAGTCACAAAGGTTTAACCTTTCCCTCCCTTCCTGGGTTACTTCTTCTTCTTCTTCTCTCTGTGTGTCTCTCTCCCTCCATTTTCTCTCATTTTGGGACTTTGCAGAAACAAGCTAGAATCTTTTTCCCATTTGTTCTCTTGTCGGCCAAATTTGGAAACTTTCTGACCATAATTTGCCACGTTCTCAAGTCTGTGTGCCTCGGGGAAAAGCTGAGGGAAAGGAGGTGGACAAGTTTTTAAGGTTGCATATCACTCTGTTTTTGGAGGGCTCTCTCTCTCTCTTTGAAGGAACAGAGGAAGAAGAGTTATTGTTGTAGAAAAGTGAAAAAGCCTGTATTGGGTTCTTCTGTGGAAGGAAGAACCATGGCTGCTGCTTTGTTGTCCGATTGGCCGTGGGAGAGCCTTGGGTTGTACAAGGTACCAAAGAAAGTTTCAAACTTTTTCTTCAATTTGTTTAATCTCTGTTTGTATTCTGAATGTCCACCAACTGTTTGCTGTTTTGTCTGTGTGGTGAAGTATGCACTGTACGGGCCACTGGTGGGGAAAGTGCTATACTCCAGATACCAAGAGGGTTACCTGAAGCCAGATTGGTGCTTTTGCTTGCTAGTAATTTGGCACATCAGGCAGGTTTTGAATATGCTATGGGCCGCTTTTGTCAACATGATGTTCCTCTCCAAGAGCATCAGGATCAACAAGCAAGGCTATGGTTTCAAGCAGGTGGACCGTGAATGGGATTGGTAAGTAGTTGTATTCTGCACAATTGCCGCGTTGGGATTCGAACTGAGGATCATATCTCATGATTGTGTATACTTCTTTTGTTTCTCAGGGATAATTTTCTGATACTCCAAGCTATAATTGGGTCTTTGGCATGTTCTGTCTTGCCAATAGAATCAATTCCTATCTGGAACTCAAAAGGGTTGTTATGGATTCTGGTTCTCCATGTTGGAATCTCAGAGCCAGTTTACTATTGTGTTCATAGACTCTTCCACACAGGATCCATGTTCACCAATTACCACTCAATCCACCACTCTTCTCCAGTGCTGCATCCATACACAGGTAAAATACAGTTTTAAGACCACTGGAACAGGAAAAACCAAGCAGAACCAATGGAAGAGTGATCAAGTTTTGATCTCTTTTTTTTTACTGTTCTTTAACAGGCTTACAACTATCATTTCTGGAGCATCTGGTGCTAGCTTTAGTGACTTGGATCCCAATTCTTGGGTGTTTCCTTCTGGGTTATGGATCATTGCTTACAATTGCTGGCTATCTTTTGGTGTTTGATTTCCTGAGATGTATGGGGCATTCCAACACTGAGATAGTACCTCACCAAGTTTTCCAGACCCTCCCTTTCCTCAAATACCTCATTTACACAGCTACGTAAGTTTTGTACAATTCTCTCTCTCTGGTTTGCAATTAAAAAAAATCCCTCATTACTACCACCCTTTTTTAGGAAAATCCCCCCAAATTGAATTCCATACGGTCTCTTTTTGGCTAAATATAGATGAATCTTGTACACTTCTTTTAATTTGAAGTCCTATTTGCCCAAATTTATTGAACATTTTTTGGGACATTGTTTGTTTTTTTCTTTGTTTTCAGGTATCATAGTCTGCATCATACTGAGATGGAGACCAATTTCTGCCTCTTCATGCCAATCTTCGATGCAATTGGGAAGACCCTCAATAGCAAGTCGTGGGAGCTGCACAAGAAGATACGTTCACAAGCAGGTAACCTTGTATTTTTTGCTCCCTTTTTTACAGATTGTTTGTCAATTTGAGAACTTCCATATAGTGGCTTCAAATAAATGCACCTTTTTCAGATTTCAGGGTACAGCTATAGTAAGGCCACTTGATTCTGAAATATCCCATTTCCCTCCTCTGGCTTTTTTGGGGGGACCATGTTTGCAATATAACACAAGCTTCCAACATGCTCATTTCCAAAAGGGTGTTCTCTAACTATCTGATTTTGGGTTGCAGGGAAGTATGGGAGAGTTCCTGATTTCGTGTTCTTGGCACATGTTGTGGATGTGTCTTCTGCAATGCATGCTCCCTTTGTTTTCCGGACATTTGCATCGCTGCCATACAGATTTCAAGCCTTCTTGATCCCTTGCTGGCCTATAACATTCGTGGTGATGCTTGTGATGTGGGCCAAAGCCAGGACATTTGGCTTTACCTTCTACAATCTAAGGGGCAAGCTCCACGAGACATGGGTTGTGCCCAGGTTTGGTTTCCAGGTAAATGTTCAAACTTTTGGGCCTTATTCAAGGACTGAGAATTGTATGTTGATGATACTAAGTAAGAGAAGAAACATTTGTTGCAGTACTTCTTGCCATTTGCAAAGGAAGGAATCAACAAGAGGATCGATGAGGCTATTCTCAGAGCTGATAGTCTTGGAGTCAAGGTCCTGAGTCTGGCTGCATTGAACAAGGTTGGTGGAGTTTATTTACCCATCTCTTTTCCTTCATACGTTAGATGAAATCTAGCCTGATTGTTTGGCCAAATGGCTGGCTCATTGAATTGATTTGACTTAAAACTAAAAGGAAATCATCGTACCGTGTCACCATGAGGTGATGAAGCCGTGTCCTACCACCTTCAATCGAGCAGCCTTGAGTCCACTGGATTGACTTAATTGACCCTCCGACCCTGTCTTCTTGCTGAGTCACCGCTCTTTAATCTGTGAATCTGGTGACCATGGTAGTTGAAGCTGTAAATGCTTTGCATATCAATCCATGTTCTGCTATTATTACTGCACAACATTGGAATGGGGTCCCATTAACTTTCTGGTTTCTGCTATGTGGATATTATTCCATGGAGTGGCAGGATTTCTTGCAAATATCAGTTATTTGTCTATTATGCTGATATAGGAAGAAAAAGAAATAGTCCCTTTTCTTTTCCTTTTCTTGAAGCTAAACATGTAGCTAACTGAGTTACCAATTAACTGTGTGGTCAATCTTCATTGAGGTCTGAAGTTTCAAGTTACTATTCATAATAGAGTTTTCTGACATGAAAATTGAAGTATACAAGTTTAGTTGAAGGTCTGAAGTCTGAAATGCATAATCATGATCGAAACTAGCTAGATATTCAGCTGCAAAGTAAGCTACCTCAATGCACATGGCATATTCTAACAATTTGTAAACTTTTGTCTTGTGGGAAGACAAGGAAAGAATTCTATGTAAAATAGGTGCATTGGGGACATTGCCAGTTTGACACTGTAGATCATTAATGTGCACAGCATAGTTGGTGGCAACGTGGCTTGCCCTTCCAGAGTTCAGTTCGATTAAAGGCAGGACTCAGACAATCAATAGAAGTAGAAAGAGGGCCATATGGGTTGTGTCATTACACCTCGTACGAAGCAAGCCTATTTATTCATCCAGCTTCTTCTGCTTCTTCTTACTTCTGGCTGTCTGCCACGATCCCATAGCTAGACTTGTATCAATCTGCTTAGCTGGTACCTTACTTGTCATCAGGCTAGCAACTTAGTAGGAGGCAAAAGAAACCAGAAAGCCCCTCAAATCTATGGCTATGGCTATTGAATGGGTCCCCAGTTGAACCTAACCTTGAGATCTCTAGTTTGGCAGGAACATTACACTTGTCACTTGCCACAGTTGCTTCTGTTTCTTCTTTTGGGTCGTTTGTAAAAAGTTAAAAAGATTGGTAAAAAAGTTAAAAATATTGAAACTTTAAGTTTTTTAGTAGAATTGGAGTAAATGATAAAATTGGATGTTGGTGAAAAAAGGTATTGAATAGTGAACCTCTATCCTGAACAGGTTGGAAGTAAATGCTCATTTTTCAGAAGTGTGTTCTTTCTTGTGAATGAATGAATATTAACACAGCAGTAGATAAGAAACGTGAATCGTTCTTCAGGATCCTGGAAGTGTGTCTATTTACCATTTTACCATTTCCTGAAATGTCTGATGTTGGGGTTGCAGAACGAATCACTGAATGGAGGTGGAACATTGTTTGTGAACAAACATCCAGACCTGAAAGTCAGAGTAGTCCATGGGAACACATTGACAGCAGCAGTGATTCTGAATGAGATTGGTGAAGAAATTGAAGAAGTTTTCCTAACAGGAGCCACTTCCAAGCTTGGAAGAGCCATAGCTCTCTACCTCTGCAGAAGAAAAGTCAGAGTTCTCGTAAGTTTAACTTCCCCTCCTCCTCTCTTCCACCTCTCAATCATTCAATAACTTTGATGGTGATTGACAAGGATTTGGCAACCAAATATACTAATTAAATTGTCACATTCGTTTAAGGTTGGATGTTATAGGTTCGCATCGAGCCATTTATTGGCCGGTTTGATGATACCAATGTTTGTATTTGAAACATGATGTTCCTTTCCCCAGATGTTGACATTGTCGACAGAGAGGTTTCAGAAGATCCAGAAGGAAGCTCCTGTGGATTGCCAGAATTACTTGGTGCAAGTTACCAAGTACCAGGCTGCTAGAAGTTGCAAGGTGAAATTTTTTAAGATGGTGAAAGTTTTTCACTTGGCTCCTAACTTTTGGGGTTTTTAACCACCCTCTTTGGGTTGTTTTTTTTTTACTGTTGATGGTTTATTGCAGACATGGATAGTTGGGAAGTGGATAACACCAAGGGAGCAGAGTTGGGCTCCACGGGGAGCCCATTTCCATCAGTTTGTGGTGCCACCAATTTTGTCCTTCAGGAAGGACTGTACTTATGGAGACCTTGCTGCCATGAGATTGCCTGATGATGTTGAAGGGCTTGGAAGTTGTGAGGTAAAAATATCACCCGCACAAAAGCCTAATCTACAAACCCTAATCAATTCATCATCTAGTCTACTCAACAATAAATGAGGGTACTTTGGGTACTATTGAAACTCAAGATTGTACTTCGAATCTGTTTCTCAGAAGATCATAATGCGATTAACTTCGTTTGATGTTTCTTTTTTCGATGGAATTCAGTATACGATGGATCGAGGAGTTGTTCACGCGTGCCACGCAGGAGGCGTGGTGCACTTCTTGGAGGGATGGACCCATCATGAAGTGGGAGCAATAGATGTTGACAGGATAGATCTTGTGTGGAATGCTGCAATGAAGCATGGATTGAAGCCTGTCTCCAACAGCAACAAACTCAAACAAACGTAGAACCATCGGTTGGGATGGATGGAACTTGGAAGGAATGGCTTGGTTGTGTGTTTACATTGCAAAATGATATATATAGTTTGTAATATCCTAATGCTGTAGCTTTTAGAGAAAAAAACGATCAAAAAATTTGTGAGGATTAGAGATGGGGCAAGGAAAGAAAATGGTTGTTCTAAAAGTGAAAGAAAAGCAAGAACAACATATATTTTTCTACATTTACATATCAGAAGGAAAGTTCATTGCTGTGTAGTGTATTCCTCTTTGCAATTTCATTATTGAAAGGGAGAATTTGTTCATATTTGTCCCCAACCATAAGTAATCTTGAACCACTTTTGTCCAAATTTTGATTTATTATCAAGAGATATTTAAAGGCACAACATGAACACTTTCTCTTTGATTAGAGGTAAAGTTTATTTGTTAACCATAAAGGTTCCATATCTAATCCATATAATTCAAACCATAATCAACTCCAGAATTGTCACAAACTCACAATACTTTGTTTAGAGGCCAGATGGACTATGGGTTGTGGAGTGATTCATTGGGCTCAATGGCTTCAATTTCGATTGGGCTAGATCTAGAGCAAACCCATCAAACTCACCCAAAATCCAAGATCCAGTAAGCCCAAAGCCTTACAGAAACCAGCCAACAGGCGTCTCCTTTTTCCCCACTCTCTTCTTCTCGCCTCAATTGCCACCTGTCTATCTGCCGTCTGAAGTGACAGCAAAAGGACACCCTGCCACTCTCACCACCCGCCACGTGTCAACCACCCATCTCCTCAACCGCTAGAACGATACCAGAGTAAAAAAAAAAAACCAAAAAAAATCCTCCCTTTCCCCCTACTACCATAATCATCCACCGCCTTACCAAGCAATGGCTAGTAAAGTTCAGCTAGGAGTTTTGAAGAACAAGAACAACAAACCCACCAACAGGAAGGATGCCGCGAAATGTGTCCGGCAAGTCGCGAACTATCTGAAATCGGATTCCTACTTGTATGGGCCTCTGCTCAATCCACCTCTAGCGACGACGAGAGCGACAGGGGATGATTTCCCGCCGCCGAAAGTTAGCTTCCCAGGTGAGGAAGAAAGTGTAAAGATGGCATCTTTTTAGCTCTTTGGTTGATGGGTAGTCTTTGTTTTTAGCTGATGGAGCTCTGTTTTTTTTTTTTTTTTTTTTTTTGGGGTTCTCATAAGAGGGAATTGAGTACATGGCGAGAGGAAGGAAGAACAATAATAAGGGACTTGGAAAGAAGATTGTGCAGTATCTGAAATCCGATTCTTACTTGTACGGTCCCTTTCTGTCTTCAAGATCAACAATCCCAGGTGATTTTTTTGCCTCATTATTTGCTTGCAATTTAGAATTGGATTCAGTTCGTACGAATAAATTGAGTTAGGAGATCGAATTGGGTTGTTAGAAAGCCCATATGCATGTTATGCATACTTTTTTGTAGGGTTGAAATGATGTTTTTGGTATATCTTCTGCACTTTTTGTCTTTGTCACGATGAACATAAATCGTTCGATGTATGATGTAGTGTTCGGGTTATGGTAGGTTCTAATGCTCGTAGAATACGATATAATATGAGCAAAATTGAGCCTAGTGATTGCATTTTTCGTAGATTTTCCGTAAATGACATGCGACAGGATAAAGTGATTCTTGAAACCTCAAACCCTAATAAAGTTTGCACAAACTTAGAAGTAACGACTATCTCAATGATTATTACTACCTTGTGGTTGAATTAATTCTGTACCATTAACAGTTATCTTGATCATGAAGTGGAACCTCTCATTTCACCAGTTTCAACAGTGTGGGTAGTACGGTTTCAATTCTTATGATGTAGGCCCAAAACTCCATAGTAAAACAGAGTCCCCTGTTTTTCTCCCTTGGCAATTGCCGTATTGCTTCAGCACCAAAGTACCGAACATGGCCAGGATTTTGACAGGTTCCATGAATCAGTCGTTGTTTGTCTGAAAGCTACACCAGAGATTATAACTTGTTGCTCTCATTTACAGGATATGTTCGGCGAAGCAAGAAGTTGACCATGGAGATGTTGATGACAAGGAAAGTGACGAGGAAGGACAAACAATCCACTGTGGAGAAATCAAATGTAACAGTGGAGCAGGAGGAAGAGTTCTGTGATGTTGTTGTTCTTCCTCCTACTACTCCTGACAGGAACCGTTCTTCGGGTCAGCAGCAACAACGATCAGCACGTCGCCGTCAGGAGGTGTCGAGCCACGTGGTCCCTCGAAGAAGCTTTCGTTCTTCCTCCTCATCTGCCGTGTCAGGTCAGGTTACATAGTCTGTCAATAGTTCAATCTCCCTAATTCATTCTACCTTGTTGCTTGTCATGTTTTACCCCTGTTCTTAGATGGTTTGTTTTGTTATGAGTTGGTCACATCAGGTGTTTTAGGGCCAGACTCTACGTGTAAATGCAAGTTGTAGGAGATAGCCTATTAGGTATAGAGATCGGCCGAGTTGTTGTATCATGTCGACGGTTGTTGAGTCTTGTTACCTCGAAAGTTAGACGAATAAGAGTGAATCCTCTAGCATCTAAGTTGGCGCTATCTGGCTCCACTCTATTATCAATAGAAGGGATCTCGATAATGAATCATTCGTATTAGCTACAGTGGCATGTTGCAAAACTAAAATTTTCTTCTCGGGTTGCCAATATCAATGATGGATTTGTCATTATAAAAAAAAAATGGATTTGTTTTCATGGCTAGTGGAAATGACTCTTGTTTTGGAATTTCCTTGTAGTTGCACGAAAGAGTTTACCTAGCACGAGAATGAGGACACTTCTTGTTGACCACTGACGACACCTGTGAGTAACAAAAGTCACGAGATGTAGAGAATGTGTGTTCATGTGAAGGAGTTGAAGAACGTGTAGGGTTGTCTCACTTTTGTGTACATTTTTATCACATTTTAATTTGTGTATCGCGTGGTTTCTGTTAGATGCTAGACGAGTGGACCGATTGCCAATTGGTTTGGGATCATTAACTTCCAACTAAGAAATGAGCTTTGAGTTATGTGCAAAGAGATGTTAGGTATCTTATCATGAAAAAGGACTCGGAGGTTATGATAAGGCCATTTCTCCCGGTTCATCTACTTCATGATACGTGAATCGTCCAACTTTGTCACTTACATAGTGAGGGTGATTTTGTTGTTAATGATTTTGACTTAGCTAGTGAAACTTTTTCTATAACTTGTATTAATCCTCTTAAGAATTGTTTCTCAAATGCATTAAGATGTGGCTTGACACTCATTTGTTAAAAAATTTCTTATGATTAAGGAGGTTTGGGCGGTGGCCTTGAGAATTGGAGATATGATATCCAAAACCAGGGTGGTTGTGTCCAATAATACATGGATGGGATAAGTGAAAACAATTCAAGTTTGGTGTGAAGTTGACAATCTCCTAGTGTCTGTTTTGGCAGTTTCTCATGGAAGTCAAAGTGGGTTCCTGTTGGGATAATCCATTTTCATATTTCTCATTGGCATTTCCATTTTTGCATGCTCAAGTCGGTTCAACAATCAATTAGCTAATCATGGGTGTGGTATAGTTCTCATGAAAACAAATGATTAGTCCTAGTCATACTTTCACCCATTGCTACGAATGGTTATGGTCGAGTTGGAGCGGGTATCTTAGTATCTGTATCCGTTTCTTGACAAGTCGGGTGTTGATAAGATATTCTATTTAGGAGTATGGATAATAAATGTTGGTTTCATACACGTGTATACTTTAAACAAAAATAGTCAAGAGTGGAACATTAGGTCGAACTCTACCTGAAAACAGGCGGAAGAAATTGGATAGCGTAATTCGAAATTGATATCCTATTCATGCCTCATTCTACATGTCTCGTCTTAATTTCCATCCACTCTTCTTTGTGACTAGATATTCATCCCGTAATTGATTATTTAGTTGAATAAGATCACTTCGTCTTCAATTATATATGGTTTCTTGTCTAACAAACTCGAATTATTGATTGAGGGGTTTCAACACTCTTAGTCAAATTGAAGATACGAAGCAAATCGAATGTGTGCAACTTTCAACCTCATCACAATCAGTTTCTGTATGAAAGGATCGTGAAGATCGATTCTTGAACTTTTCTCAATCATGCCCTTATTCACATGCACAAGCATATATGAGAGAGAGAGAGAGAGAGAGAGAGAGAGAGAGAGAGAAGGCGGGCAATTAAGAGAGAGACCTTAATTTCTTCGTATGGCAGCATGTGCCTTGAACCCATGGAATGCAATATTTCTGCCCCCATGTTCTTCTTCTTGCGATGGGGGGCCGCAAAAGCGACAGAATTTCAAGGGTACATGATTGAATTTGCAAGTATCTCGCGCACTACTTTCGTCGGCCAACATCAACAAACTATTTTAGTAGCCAAGAGGAAGGGAGTCTTGTGCACATGTTTGTGTGAGTTGAGAGGTCCACGTACGTACCAAATTGGAGGGACAACCACACGGAAGAATATTTTGACTTTGACGTGCCACCGAGTGAAAACCTTAATTTCTCCAATAATTTAACTATATTTTATCATATATAATTTTTTTAGTCTTGTTTGAACCTAACTGAGTGTAGGAGTTAGATTCGAGTAAGGGTTGGGGTCAAGAAGAAGTGCAAGTAACGGGTTTGATCAGGAAGTCACAGACTAGAGAGTTGTGGGAGAACCAGAGAAGGGATATTAGAGAGATAAGTTGTTATTGTAGAGAGAGAGTGGTGAAAAAATGCGATCCCCTCACCCACCGGAGTAAATGCCATATTTATAGGCTACATGGTGGTGGGTGAGTGGTTGGATTACATGATGGGACCTAGGCTCTGATGTGACCACTGACACGTTGGGGATTTCGGCCATCCCCCTACCTAGGACATGTCAGGGGTGTACCTACGACTGTGTCACTGATCCCTATGCGGCCGACCCTCGGGAAGTGTGAAGTGAGCTCCTTATGGCTTCGAGGCTTACGACGCGCCTGAGCCTCCGCGCCTTGATACTTCTCTCTCGCGCAGCTCGTGAGGGGCTCTGGATCCTCGCGCGTTGGTTCTCTCCACTCGCGCACGCATAGTGGCGCGCCCTTAGGCCTTCATGCGCGCCTTGGACCCTCGTGCGCGCCTTCTGTCGGCGCGTCCTGCCTTGCACAGCTAGGTCCGAGTCACATGCCCAACAATTGCCCCCCATCAGAGGGTGTTCTGAGAGCGCCCTCTGTTTAGGTCTTCGCTTGATTGACTCGGGCCTGGGCGCTGTTCCCGGGATTCTTCGCGTGCGCCTTGCCATTCCGTAGCCGCGCGAGATGCTCTGTCGTGGTTGCCTGATAGCGCGCGATCTCTGGGGGATCGTGCGCTCGGTCCTTGTGAGGTTCGAATCATCGACGGCGCGGTAATTGATCGAGCGTGATTATCGCAGTTGCGATTGTTCCTCGCGTGTTCCGTGGCTTGCGCGAGAGGCTCTGATGTAGTTGCCTGATAGAGCGCGGATCTTGGGGTCCGGGATTCTGAATAGTGTGTGCGATCTTTCCGAGATTTTTCCCCTTTCTTCGCGATCTTCGCGAGAGATTTTTTCTTTTCCCCGCGGGTGTGACATGCCCCCCAGGCGTTGTGCGTAACTAGTTACGTCAGCGGCTAGTACCCACTTGGGATAGGTGTCCGCGTGTCCTTACCTGGTTGGTTCGTTTGGGCGGGCGAATTTTGAAATTCGAAACGTCTGACGGTTGGGATTTTCGAGGTTACTTTAACCCTTCGCCTTCCCTCTAATAACTATAAGTATCGGGCCGTTTGGGGAGTGGGATTCATTCTGCCTCATTCTTCACATCTGAGCTCAGCTCCTCCTCTCTCGTGCTCTGGTTTATCGCCGAGATTCCTCTCCTTCTTTTACAATCTTAAACCCCCAATTGTGTCTTGCCTATTGTCTTTTTCCTGCTGTCATGGACAACATCAACACCAACGTCGGCGAGGTTGAGATCGTACAAGACGAAGAAGGTAATATTTCCCCACTTTCCCGTATTTCTTCTGACCCGTCGCTGGAATTGGCGAATTCCGGCGGCGAGGATGGCGGTGGTTCCGGTGACGGCGGAGTTCCGTCGACGCCGTCAACCAGAGTCGACTCCGATCCTGATTTCGACCTCAGAGAGACGGAGGCCGATGAAGATGCAGTGGTGTCCGGGGGCGAGGGGCCTAGTACGCGGCCCCAAGGCGTTCTAATAATCAGGCGCGGTCACGGTGGGATGTCTGCAATCGTGGAGGGTGCTGGTACTGCTAGCGCGGCCGAGCGCGAGGGTTCTGATACGGAGTCGGCGCCGATAATCGCCGAGCCCGTCAACGTGGTGCGCGTAACCGAGGCGATGAGTCGCCTTGGTCCTCGTTGCATGGGCGCTGTCTACACCGTCCTTGATTGGGCGGAAATGTGGGGCGACCAGCCGGCTCCGCATGACAACTTGTTGCGGGGACCCGACCATTCTTCAATCTACTCGCGCGAGGACGTTGAAGAAATCGTGCGCGGGTTGGGTTTGCCTCCGCACTGGGAGTACGCGGTGCCGTCTGTTAGGAGCACAGTTGGTAACTGCCCCCCAGGGTGGTTCGGGGTATATAGCGAGTATTGGGTGATGGGTTTCAAATTTCCCATCGACCCGCTGCTGTGTGCCCTATACAGGCGGCTCAACTGCTCGGTCGGGCGCCTCTCTCCGTCGATCATAATGCACGTCTCGTGCTTGCGCCTTGCTTGTAAGCGGCTTAACATCCAGCCCACGTACGGGCTGTTCCGCAAGTTTTACAAGATCAAGGAGCCCAGCAAGACGAGTGATTGCTTGTCCATCAAGCGGCGCGATAACAGGCCTGATGGATTCGTCTACGGCTCCCCCAAGCTAAAGAAGACGTGGTTTGAGCGCTTCTTCTATGTTAAGCCAGTGGCGGGGGAGTGGGCTAGTGAGTACGTGGATGAGCCCACTGTGTGGAAGAAGGGTAGTACCCAGAAGTTTGAGTCGCGCGTTGGCGCGTATGACGGGCTTGATCGCGAATATCAAGCGTGTTTGGATCAGAAGATGAACCTTTATACGCGCGGAGTGCGCGAGGCCATTTTGCAAGAGCTTTTCGCTGATGGTTAGTTGTTTTCCTTTCCCTTTGCATTCTGTCACATTTAACCGGTTTCTTACGATATTTTGGTGCAGGTGTCAATTTCGCCGACCTCGCGAGCATGATGTCGGTGGACAACGTTGCCAAGGCGCCCCGAGCCTCTCGTAAGGGGAAGAAGAAGCAGAAAGATGGGGCGCAGAGTAGTAACGCGCCAGCTGCCAGTGCCAAAAAGAAGGACCGGGGGCAGCCCAGCAGTGCTCCCGCGAGTGGCGGGAAGAGGAAGGAGTCGGCGTCGGAGAGGGAGCCGGCTGATGGGAACCCGAAGAAGGTTGCGCGGGTCGTGGAGCCAGAGGCGCGGGTCGTTACCGTGTCGGAGGCGCGCATGCAAGAGGCGCGCCAGCATCCTCTGGTCATCGTCGATCCCGAGGAGCGGGTGGGCAACTCCCCGCGTCCAGAAGGGGTGGTAGCTCCCAGCAGCTCTGGGGCCTCTGGGGCCGCTGGGCAACGGAAGCTGACTGACATGTTGGGGGGCGTCCCAGGGGTTGACTATTACCGCGACGTGCGGCTGCACACCGGCGCGGCTTGTAATAGTCAGACCGCGCAGGCTGCTTTGCGGGCAGTTGGGCCTGTACTCAGCATCCCACCCCGATTCGAGAAATCGGATCCTCTTGTGGACCTGGCTCAGATCCATTGGGCGGTAAGGCTATTCTGTTCCCGCTCACGATTCTTTTGTTTTCTTTTCCTCCTCTTTCTTTTCCTCCTCCTTTTTTTCTAAAGTTGTAAAGTGTCGTTTGTGCAGGGTTTGCTGGCGACTTACCGCGCCCAGCAGGATCGCGCTTCCACGCGCGCGAGGCTGAAGACGGACGAGTCTCGGATCGTGCAGCTGGAAGGGAAGCTCGCCGGCGCGGAGAGCCGTGCGGAAAAGGCCACCCACGAGGCCAACAAGGCCCTGACTGAGCTGGGCGTATGGCAAAGCCGGCTTGAGGCTGCTGTGGAGGCTGCCAAGGAGCGCGTCCGGACTGAGGAGCGCGACACCATTAGGGCGCAGCTGCAAACTCAGTTCGCTGAGGAGAAGAAGAAGTTGGCGGAGGATTTTGAAGGAAAGCTGAAGGAGGCCCGCGAGGACTTCC